AAAACTCTGTCACGCACCACACACACACACACACACACACACACACACACACACACACACGAGAAAGAGAGAGAGAGAGAGAGAGAGAGAGAGAGAGAGAGAGAGAGAGAGAGACTGATCAGAAGCATAGCCTAAACATAGCCTAAAACAGGATAAACTATTCTAAAGCCTACCTTGTTCCCGGCAGAAAGTTCAGACTGCTGACACCCAGCACTCACTCTTTTTTTTTTTTTTTTCTTGAGACGGAGTCTCACTCTGTCACCTAGGCTGGAGTCAGTGGTGTTCTCTTGGCTCACCGCAACTTCCACCTCCTGGGTTCAAGTGATTCTCCTGACTCAGCCTCCTGTGTAGCTGGGACTACAGGCACGTGTCACCACACCCAGCTAGTTTTTTTTTATTTTCAGTACAGATGGGGTTTCACCATATTGGCCAGGCTGGTGTCGAACTCCTGACCTCATGATCCGTCTGCCTTGGCCTCCCAAAGTGCTGGGATTACAGGCGTGAGCCACCGTGCATGGCCCCAGCACCCACTCTTAATCAACCTAGGCCAGGTTAATCACTTGTTGCCCCATCAGCCTACTCCTCCACTTGGGCCTTAAGATCTGAAATGTAGACTGCTGGCTTAATTAAAAGTTTCAGCTTGTGCCCTTTAGGGCCTACTAAATTTTACTCTTCCAATAAGCAAGGCAATGTTTTGAATAATGTAGGGGGTAGATGTGGGGAAGGCACTCTGCCGCACTACCAGGAGATTCCATTTAACCTTGAAATTTATTTTTTGAATGCTTGGCAGACTTATAAAGTGCACCTGACCATTTATGGATCCCAAATATATGCCACTTCAACATCTCTCACCTTACTAAGTTCATCTGAGATCAGTATACTGGGTAAAATTGTCAAAAACTTGAAAAGCACATTTCTACCTTGAGTTCAGAAATCTAAGTATCAAAATCCTAATCAATAGCTCTCAGTGCTTACAACTCCAAGTTACACCATCAGGCTCAATATTGGTTGATGATTTCCCAGATAACATGCTGCAGAATCACCTTGTATATGGAGGGCATGATAAATGTCTTGACTGGATTCTTTTACATTTTTAGTGTCAAAAAAAAAAAAAAATGGTCCTAGATGTTAAAACAGAAAAAGTTCCTAGATGGTAAAACAGCATTGCTGAATGTCTTCTAAATCAAAAGGGCAGTTACCAATGTCAATCCTGCACAAAATATGACCAAATGAGTCAACAGAACACATGTGGCACCTGGCCCCAAAATTCTACAGGTCATTTCAGACACACCAACGCCCATTCTGGCTCTGATGATGATATTAATGCTGTTTTTGCTGACTCAAGGCCATGGAGTGCAGCTTCTCAAAGAGGAATTACCATTCTTAAAGAGTTTGCTGTTCAAAGTTTATTCTTAAAATGTCTTAGCAGAAGGCTAGGTGCAGGTGGCTCATGCCTATAATCCTGTTCCGGAAAATCTTACCCGGCGAGAAACCCAAGCGGCACTTAGAGGATTGGAGGAATGCACTTTATTATGCCAGCGGGCCCAGAAGGGCTAGCACCCAAAAGTTTGGACCCTGACTTGAGCCAGCACACAGCTTTTATATAGTAGAGGCTAGGGACACATCTTGAGGTTTTGGGCAGCACAGCAGTTTTCAGGAGGCCTTTCAGCTAGTCAGCAGGAAGCAGATGTATAGAAGCAGATAGAAGTAGTTGAGGTAGCTAATTTTGGGCAGTCAGGAAATTTTCCTTCATGGGCCCTCCATCTCAATCCAAGCACTTTGGGAGGCCGAGGCAGGAGATCACGAGGTCAGGAGTATGAGACCAGCCTGGCCAACATGGAGAAACCTCATCTCTACTAAAAATACAAAAATTAGTTGAACGTGGTGGTGCGTGCCTGTAATCCCAGCCACTCAGGAGGTTGAGGCAGGAGAATCACTTGAACCTGGGAGGCAGAGGTTGCAGTGAGCCAAGATCGTGCCACTGCACTCCAGCCTGTGAACAGAATGAGACTCCATCTTAAAAAAAAAAAAAAAAAAAAAAAAAAAAAAAAAAAAGTCAGGTGTGTGTGGCTCACACCTGTAATCCCAGCACTTGGGTAGCCGAGGCGGCTGGATGACGAGGTCAAGAGTTCAAGACCAGCCTGACCAACATGGTGAAACCCCGTGTATATTAAAAAAAAAAAAAAAAAAAAAAAAAAAAAAAAGTCATAGCAGAATCACTTAACCTCTCATTATCTTAAAGTAACCATTTATGCTTTAAAAAAAAAAAAAAAAAAAAAAAAACAAGACAGAACTTGCAGAATAGTCAGAGAGTTGACAGCAAGAAGTTAGCTCTGAGTACTGCAATACTTGCAGCAGTAGGAAACAGTGTCCATGAGTGTAAGATGGCATGGCCCTCACTTCTTAAAACATTTTCCACAACTTTGTTTCAAAGGACCACTCTCCAAGACTATTGATCCTCAGGAGTAAAACAACAAAGTTGAGGTGGCTGGAAAGCTTCCTAAGGTAGATGCAGTGTGACTCCTCCACAGAGATGTTTGCACTTGTAATGTAAGAGGGTGGAACAGAAATGTCTTAGGAAGTGACTAGGAAAACATTTGTATCCTTAGAAGTACTGGTCATTGGAGGCGATAACAAATTTCCTAAAGTGTCCTTCAGAAAACAGAAGGTTGCAAGAAGTCCCTGCCATAGGCACCACTTGTATATATTTACTTGTCAGCTACCTCCTTCAACAAAGAACTTGAGGTTATAAACATGTATAAAAGAAGAAAAAATAAATAGTTTAAAGAAACAAGGTAAATGAAAAATAAAATCAGAGAAAGATTAGTGACTAGAAATTCATGGCTATGGTTGTATGAAATTACTCAAAGTGGGCCTCTAATTTGATCTGAAGCTATCTACTGGCCAAAATGAAGAAGAAAACTTGATCAGTTATAAAATTTATTGAGGGTAGGAAATAATTATTGGAATACAGACTTTATACTTATGTTCTAGAAAGTTAAAGTTGTGTCTTTTTACATGAAGCTATAAAATGTGGTAATATCTGAGCCTCACTTACTTATACCCAAAAGGTCATAATAATAGTGTCCATCCTAAAGGCATTGAACACAAAAGACAAACATCTTAAAAAGTAATTTCAAATTCACAATAAGTTTGATCAGTTGATGAATACATTTTTGTTGTTGTTTTTATTTTTATTTTTTTAATGGTTGATTCCACCGCCATTGTAGAAAATAATGACCTGATGAGTAAATATTGGCTTAAGGCATACAGCAGAGCAGCTCGCTACCTCTCTAACATACGCGGAACAAGGTGAAGAGCCCCAGCTGCTCTCCAGGATAGGCGGTTAAACGATACATCCATTTTGAAATGCTACTATAGATACACACCCAAACTACTACATACATATACAGGACTTAAAAACAAGCCCAGCTCAGAATGCTTACAGCCTGGCACCTAAGCCTTATCCATATCTCACCACAGCTCTGCGGGGCGACGCCTCAAATGTTCCCACCACAGAATCTTTCTGTACTGGCTTCTACCACAAGAAAGGCAAAATGTGAAAATGCTGGCAAGAGAGTAGCTCAGGAGCTACAGCTGCCATGCTTTTCTTGTTAGAAAGCCGCTTAACATGGAGGTCTTAAGTTCCCTTTGCAGGAAGAGTCGTGAGCACCAGTGAGCCCCACAGCATTCGAGGGTGGGGCAGATGCGCCTCTGTAGGTAAGATGAACCAGGACGTAGATGGTGGCAGGCTGCCTACGGGACCGTCACCCAGGCTGTTTAAGAAGTGTGCTTTCCAGCAGTTGCTTCTCTTCCAAACCATGGTCTGCTCAAGAAGAGTGCTGACTTGGAATAGTGGAGGCTGATCCCACAGGTGGAGGAGTTTCTGCTTGCCTCAATCATGTCCAGAGCATGAGTTGTGAATATGGCTTCCATACCCTTGGAATGTCTGAGTTACAGCGAGACCCTGCTGTACCAGGACAGGCCGGGCCTCACCCACTAGAGTGTCATGCCAGGAATCTAGCAAATGCCTATTCCTGGAAAACTGCACCCTATGGCTGACTGACAATGACTTCAGCAACAGGCTTAGGAACCACAGCCATGTAATGATCAGGTAATACACAGACAGGGTGGACTTGGACACAGGCACATGAGTAAACAGAGATCCAAGTTTCTCATTTCAAGGACATATTTTTCACCAGGACATAAGAAGACCGTACATGCATTCTAATACACTTGGGGAAGTGGTGATCAAGAACTACAGCTAGCAGGTAACAGGGAGGAGAATAAGCTGGACAAAGTCATCTCACATCATGTTTCTTATTAAATACCCACATGTTCATTATATATTATAGCATTGTTCTATCTTCTCACGTTACCCACAATATCACTAAGTAATAACTGCTCACGACCATCCTCCTTTCCAGCACTGGTCTGACACAGCAGGCTGACGGCAAAGTTCTTCCATTCCCAGTACCACCTGAGGATTTATTAGTGTACTTTTTGGTAAAGGTCTTGATGCAAAGCTGACATCAAAAACATTTTAGTACATTATTGGTTCAAGATAAAATGCTAGTGAGCTATGGACGCCTTTGGGGGAAATTTTTTTTTAAATAAATATGGAGTGGAGAGTTGCTCCCTGCAGATTTGAGGGGGGCTATTGGTGTGCCGGCCACAGGGCTGCTCCACAAGGGAGCCCTGGGGTTGGGGGAGCCCCGGGACGGGTGCAGGCTCCTTCCCTGTGCACCACCAGTATGGTACTCTCCTTCACTCTCCTCAAAAAAATGGCTTGTGGATTTGGTACTCAAAGGGGAAGGGACAAAAAGTAAAAGGATGAGGGGTAAGACACACATCCAGGGAAGATGGCTTTTAGTGCAGAACCAACGTCCATCCAGGGCCCAGCTCTCTACGCCCTTACCTACTGCAGCACCCCTGCTAGTCGGGCATGGGTGGACAGTGGGTGGAGGTGGAGTGGAGGAGGGTCAAGCTATGTGTTGCTGTTAAACAGGAACCTGTAGCACAGGTACGCACCGACCGTGAGGACCGTAGCCACACATGTTGACCAGGAAGGGCTTCCAGTGAGTCAGTGCATGGTCCTCCTCCTCCTCGGGTGATGATGGCTCCCCTTTGGCTGGGGAGGCAGCCTGGGCATCTCGAAGACTTCCCCCCACGATCCGACTTCTTACTTCAGTGTCTTGACTTATGCTTTCTATGCTGTAGGGTGCGGCATTTAAGGGGCTTCCTGTTTCTTCCTTGACCGGGTAGTCTTTATCTTCCCCAGTCTCATCCTTCACCCACTGGTGGTTTGGGAAGAACTCCCTACATTTCCCACTGTGTGCCTCCAGGACTCGTTTCGGTGGCCAGGGAGGCCAGGAGACGTGCTCTGGTAGGGGCTCCAGGTCTTCGTGGGAAAGCCCCTTCCACTGTTCCTGCATGGAAGAGTCTCCCATGATGAATTTGGCACCTTCAATCACAGCCAGGTAGCAGAAGCGCAGCTGGTCTGCTGTCTGGATCAGCCCCATCCGAAACTTCCTCATTTCTAACAGCACTTTCTTGATATCAACCGAAGAAGGGTCTTTCCTTTTGTCCATCAGCATGAGGCAGGTATCAGCCAGACAGAAGGTCCCAGACCTGCCGATGCCCGCACTGCAGTGCACCACCACAGGGCCGTGCTCCAGGCTGAGTGACTCCGACTCTCGGACTTTGAAAAGAAAGTTCAAGAATGAGGCTGGCGATTCCGGGACTCCAAAGTCAGGCCACGTGGTATAGTGGAAATGTAAGATCTCTCGAGTTTCTTGGGTTGTAAGGTTTTCCAATTCTAGCTGTCCAACTGTATAATATGACTTAACATCTTCAGAGATCAATGTTATTTTCACATTTGTGTCTTCAAAGATCATTTCTTTTTCTTCTTTTTGTGGCCAGTACTGTGCGCATTTTAACAAGCCTTTCTCCATCACTCTGCTGAGCATGACGACACCCCTGCTCTTCTGCTCCCACACCATCTCCCAAAAGTGCCCGCACGTGTTAGGCAAAGGGCCCTGAGTAAGAATGTAACTCCTTTGGGCTTCTTCCATTTTTATCAAACTAGCATTGATATAGTCGTTATCTTCTTGATGTAGTTTAATCCGACTATGGTCAAAGGGACTGACGTCTCTGTACCTATTTCGGTTTTTGTTCTTAGGAAGCTCGGCCACTCTACACGGGAAGTCACTGGCTTTGCGTTCGATATCCCAGTAAATGGCCGCCCAGCTCCCGGACTTGTCGATCTGCTCGAACTCCTTTTCCATCTCCATGTTGGGTCAGGGCGGCTGCTGCGCCTCCTTCTTGGCCCACTGTGCTGTCTGCTGCTCTAGGCCGGGCCGCGCTCTTAGCCCCGAGGCCTGCTGCAAGCCCCGACTCCTGCCACTACTGCCCTAGCCACCGCTGCCGAATAAATTCTTAAAAATCAAAACATTCTTACCTTCAAACCTGCAAAAAAAAAAAAAAAAAAAAAAAAAAAAAAAAAGAAAGAAAAGAAAAGGAAAAGAAAGAAAGAAAAATCAAAATATCTGCCTCACAAAAACAAAAAGCAAACCCCTAAAACTCTCAGCAATTGAAATTCAGATTTTATATCACACATTGAGATTTTTAAAGAATACTTTTATTGCCTAAGAGAAGAATGCGAGGAAAAAAGTAACAAGAAACTGCAGGAAAAAAATCAGCTTTTACATAAATTGGCCGAGACAAAAGCTACAAGCTATGCCAGAATTGAAGAAAGCACTAAGTGTTAATTTTGATTCAGACCAAAAATGGCAGGACTCAAAAAACTTGCTCTATTGAAGCAAAAGGAAAGGGATCCTGTGGATAAAATCTAGGTGTTAAATTCATTTAACGTCCCACTATACTTCCTGAAGAAACTTCAGTGCCAGGTAATATTTCTTATGTCACTACTACAACTGCTGAAGTAGGATAATATGGAAATTCTTTTTTTCTTTCTTTTTTTTTTTTTTTTAATGGAATCTCATTCTGTTGCCCTGGCTGGAGCACAGTGGCATGATCTCGACTCACTGCAACCTCCGCCTCCTGGGTTCAAGCAATTCTCCTGCCTCAGCCTCCCGAGTAGCTGGGACTGTAGGTGCGTGCCACTATGCCAGACTAAATTTTGTATTTTTTAGTAGAGACGGCATTTCACCATATTGGACAGGCTGGTCTTGAACTCCTGACCTCGTGAACTGCCCACCTCAGCCTCCCAAAGTGCTAGGATCCCTCATATGGAAATTCTAAACAACCTCTTCTAGCTTCTGCTAGATGTTTCTGAGGATGTTTCTACATCCTCATGCTAGAATACTTTAGAGTACTCCCCTCGGCCTGGCCTGTACCACTCCAGCCCCCCATGACCCTGGCCCCTGACAGATACATTCTTCTTGGTCACAAGATTGTATTAGTTGGGTGGGATGAGTGTGTATGTTTTTAAAAGCCATTTATTTATATGCTAGTAAAAACTGGAGACTCATAGTTGTGCAGTTCTTAGCTATAGTAGTGTTCTATTGCTGAAATCAGCTTAGCTTCTTCCAGAAGAATCTCAACACTCTAAGGAAACTTAGCTAAATCAAGTTGAAACTTTTGGGTCAGATACAGCCCAGTTGTTCTCATGTAGATACATGAGTTCTACTCTTCCAAAGAAAAAAATGAGAAAAAAAAACACCAAAAATGAAAAAAAAAAAAAACAAAAAAAAAAACTAAGAAATGTTAACTATTTAACAAAGTCTGATTAAAATCAAAACCTGGAATCCACAGGGTTACAAATGTGATACTGACATTTGCAAGTATGTGTCTATAAAACAGTAATTTAGGCTGGGCACCGTGGCCCATGCCTGTAATCACAGCACTTTGGGAGGACAAGGCGGGAAGATCACAAGGTCAGGCGTTTGAGACCAGCCTGGCCAACATAGTGAAACCCCGTCTCTACCAAAGATAAAAAAAAAAAATAGCCGGACATGGTGGTACATGCCTGTAGTCCCAGCTACTTGGGAAACTGGGGCAGAAGACTACCCTGAACCCAGGAGACGGAGGTTGTGGTGAGCCGAGATCATGCCACTGAACTCCAGCCTGGGCAACAGAGTGAGACTCCACCTCAAAAACAAAACAAAACAAAACAAACAGTAATTTATGCATTTGAATTATTATCCTGAAAACACTAATTCATCTCTTCTCCTAGATTTGAGATTTTATTGTCTTAGAGTTGATAAAGTATAATGAAATAAAATAATCTCTGCCAAAATGACTACTGATAAGGAACATTCTTAGAACTGAACATTTTAAACCACTTTTTTTTTTTTAAGTGCTGCTTGGTTCTTAAAAGACTTATCTACACTTCCTTCAACTTTAAGTATTAATGACTTAAACTTATCAAAAGTATACAAAATAGGCCAGCCACGGTGGCTCACACCTGTAATCCCAGCACTTTGGAAGGTAGAGGCAGTGAATCACTTGAGGCCAGGAGTTCGAGACAAGCCTGGCCAACATGGTGAAACTCATTCTCTACTAAAAATACAAAAATTAGCCAGGTGTGGTGGCGCATGCCTGTAATCCCAGCTACTCCAGAGGCTGAAACATGAGAATCACTTGAACCCAGGAGGCAGATATTCCACTGAGCTAAGATTGTGCCACTGCACACAACCCTGGGTGACAGAATGAGACCCTGTCTAAAAAAAAAAAAAAAGAAAAAGAAAAAAGAAAGAATACAAAATATTCTTAAGAAATAATTTCAGAATGCAAATAGCTTCAACTGGCCAACACCTCCTCCCCGAAGATCAAAGAAAGAACATTTTGTAGAGCTGTTCCCAGTCTTTCCTGTTCAATTCCCCAGCCCCACCCACAGCAACCCTCTCATCCTCTCCAAACACAGAGAAGACTCAGACTACCTGAAGTGTGCTGTCCCATGTCCCCTCCTTTCTATCTCCTTTTTTTCCTTTGTGGCATTAGCTTCACCCCTCCTATCTTAAATCATGTTTTTTTGTTTGTTTGTTTTTTTTGTTTTTTTTGTAAACTTTTATTTTAAATTCAGGAATACAAGTGCAGGTTTGTTACATAGGTAAATGTGTGTCATGGGGGTTTGTTTTACAGATTATTTAATCTCCTACGTATTAAGCCTAAAATCCATTAGTTATTTTTCCTGATCTTCTCCCTCCTCCCACCCTCCACCCTCTGGTACGTCCCAGTGTGTGTTGTTCCCCTCTGTGTGTCCATGTGTTCTCATTATTTAGCTCTCATTTACAAGGGAAAACATGCTGTATTTTGTTTTCTGCTCCTACATTTGTTTGCTAAGGATATTGCTGCACCCATATTGCTGCAAAGGACATGGTCTCATTCTTTTTATGGCTGCATAGTATTCCATGGTGTATATGTACCATTTTTTCTTTATGCAGTCTATCATTGATGGGCATTTAAATTGATTCCATTTGAATAGTATTGCAATGAACATACATGTGCATGTGTCTTTATGACCAAATCACAGTATTATTGTATTGTCATCCATCTTCTTTTCCTCCCTCTCAGGGGGATGAGGTATTCCACTCCCACTCATACTCTCTTCTTCCCATCCTATTTTTCTATCCATCCTTGTTCCATCATTCACTCCTTTTCTTGGAGCACCTTAAATCTCTCTTTCCTCTACATAAAAACGTTCACAGTTTCTTTCATTATCCCTATCTTTTTTTTTAAAAAAAAAAAAAAAAAAAAAGAAAGAAAAAGAAAAAAAGGCCCATTCTTTACCCACTTACCATCCTGATTTTCCTACTCTTATTATTACCATTTTCTCAATCAGCACCTCCCATCTTCTCATCATCCATTTGCCCTTTACCTTTTGCAATCTGATTTCTGTCACAAAAAGTCCATGGAAATTCTTCTTTCTAATGTCATTTTTATTCATTCACTAACAAACATGCATTGACCATCTACTATAAGCCAGTCACTGTTCTGGGAGTATAAATGTAAACACTGATAAAACTGAACTGTTGCCATAAAGAAGTAATTTGACAAACAGGAACAGACTTCTCAGCCTAAACATTCTTGATTTCTCTGCAGAAGTATTTTAAACTATTGATTCACTATCTTTTCTAAAAGATGTCTTGGCTAGCTGTAGTGGCTGAGGCCTCTAATCCCAGCACTTTGAGAGGCCAAGGCAGGAGGATGGCTTGAAGCCAGGAGTTTAAGACCAGCCTGGGCCACATGGCAATACCCTATCTCTACCAAAAAAAAATAAAATAAAATAAATTAGACAGGCTTGATGGTGCACACCTGTAGTTCCAGGTGCTTTGTAGGCCAATGTGGGAGGATTACTTGAGTCCAGGAGGTCGAGGCTGCAGTGTGCCAAGCTTGTGCCACTGCATTCCAGTCTGGGGAACAGACCTAGACTCTGTCCCCCCAAAATTAAAATTAAATTAAAGAGTTCCCAAGTGGCATCTTCTATCATTTGTGAAGGTATTCTAGTTCTATTTTTCTGAATTCTCCTCTACTGGCTTTGGTAGCTTCTCCTTTGGCTCCATAATGTGGATTGTCTCTAAGGTTCAGGCCTGCTGTCCTTTTCTCTTTCTATACTCTCCCAAGATGCTCTCATTTATCTTTTAGCTTCAGCTTTCACCTCTATAATTTTCTCCTCAATCTCTTTCTCTGCAATTCAATTACTACCTTAAAAAACCATTGTACACTGGGAGCAGTGGCTCACCTGTGATCCCAGCAGTTTGGGAAGTCAAGGCGGGTGGATCGCCTGAAGTCAGGAGTTCAAGACCAGTCTGGCCAACATGGTGAAACTCTGTCTCTACTAAAAATACAAAATTAGCCAGGTATTGCAGTGCATGCCTATAATCCCAGTTACTCGGGAGGCTGAGGTGGGAGAATCACTTGAACCCAAGAAGCAGAGGTTGCAGTGAGCAAAGATTACAGCCACTATAATCCATCCAGCCATCTCAGGAAAAAAATGTACATTTAATAACATATGTAACTCATAACAAATAACTGTACAGAATAGACACTATTATTATCATTTTACAGAACAAGAAACTGAGACATTAAAAATTAAGTAACTTGCACAAAGGTAACAGCAAATAAATGAGGAAGGCAAGCTTCAAACCCAGACACAGCAGGTTAAACTGATAAAGACCATTAATCCAAGCAGCAGAAATTTGGATTTTTTCAAATATTAATGCTTTGCAATGATTCATTTTCAAACAGTCTATTCTGCCAAATGTCAAGGACATAATGACCCAACAACTAGGGTTATAAGAAGCTGACTGGAAGAAAGTTATGATACTTG